TATATATATATATATATATATATATATATATATTTTTTTAAAATAAATAATTATATTTAGGCTCAACATAAAAACAGAAATACTAAAAGAACTTCTGATTATTTACCTAACGAGTTCTTTCCTATTTTATATATATATATATATATATATATATATATATATATATATATATATATATATATATATATATATATATATATATATATATATATATATATATATAAAAGTTGATGTGTAATTCTAGTAACGAGTTGTTTATGCAAACAGAATCTCAGGAAAGCACATCTTTCTGCATACGTCAAGTTGATCGGCAGGAATATTTCCTGATTCTGTTAAAGATATCTGACTCGAGTACTTAATATAACAATAATATCATTTTTTAATGAGGGGGGAGTTACCCTCCTACTTACAGGATGACTAATGCTATCAACCCCTGAAAGACACAAACAGTTTTGTTAAGCACGGATAGAGTCCTGCTTGAAAAGTCTATCTACACATTTCAACGAACATGGCACTGGGATAAACATTAGATCCAGTTTAGGACAATTCCTTGTTTTTTCTTCCGCGGGCAAATCTTTACATGAACACACATGCATTTTAAACGGGTTTACACACACACACACACACACAAAATATATATATATATATATATATATATATATATCCACAGAGAGACTGTTTCGCTGTATAACAGCTCATCAGTATAGCAAGACATCCGATTGCTTCAAGTCGGGATCGAAACTCGACCGATCTGGTGTATATATATATATATATATATATATATATATATATATATATATATATATATACACTATTTATGCTCTCGAAACAATTCGACTGAGCTCTCGGAGAAGAAGGGTTGATTTTATAAACAATGGCTGCTGCTGCTAATGCAATGCTCTTCAGCTCGAATCGAACTCTCGTAGCCACTGACGTCTTTCGCATAGTAAAAACGTTAAAATTTCCGGCCCGCCCAGATGTGCGATGATAGCTTGTGGGTAGAATTTCTGACTGATGCCAAATCGATCGGTTTTCGATCCCGGCTTGAAACAATCGGACGTCTAGCCAGACTGATGAGCTGTGATACAGCGAGACAGTCTGTTTGTTGATGACTATATATATATATATATATATATATATATATATATATATATATATATATATATATATATATATATATATATATAAAAAAACCAACTGATTCATGGTCAGTTTACAAATAGCACCTGGCAATTGCGTTGCACATGAAACTCAGTGTTGTCCTACAGGATATGGAAAATGCATATTTATTATAAATATAAAATATTTCTCTGTTATACATCCTCTTTTATTAGAACCATCGAATATACATATAAAATGACGGTGATGACTTTCCTGTTCTTCGAAACACCGCATTCACAAGTGGTTACTCTACGCTTTGGAGTCATTAAATTTGCACAAACACAACTCAAACGAAAGAGAATGAATGCTGAACAATCCCGTATGGTGTACAATCAGAAAATTTATTCTTCCATCGCGTCGTTTGCTTTGTATGTACGAGCCAAACGGCATAAGTCGAAACAAGATTAATGGACATTGCGTCGTAACCGCCAATCGTTGTCGGTCGTGACTGTTGTAATCCGAGAGTATTTTGGCTGTCTGCCAGGATTTGTGGGTTTGGGTGTTCCTAAATTTTTTGTAGATACCGTATTCATAGAATATACATAAATTTCTATTTATACATAGTAATGTGGGAATTTATTTAAAAAATGGTTTTAACTCGGATGTACGAGTTAAAATCTTTTTTTTTTAAAAGAAATTCCTAGTACGTGCCCAGTTGGTTGGTTACAGCTAGAGTATATATATATATATATATATATATATATATATATATATATATATATATATATATATATATATAATGATTGATTCTCACGTCGATTTCGAGGTATGAGGATCCGAAAACCTCAGTGACTCGCATACAGATCCACATATTGTGCAACAGCGAGGTTCCAGTTCAGAGATTTCCTTCTCCTAGACTGGTTGTCATCCATCCAAAGCTGTTTTGCTACTTACTCATTGCTAGTTGGGGTGGGGTGGGGAGAAATGGATTTATAACTTTCCCAATGTAATTAGTTCGACTGGTATTCGAAGTCAGCTCCCCGATTCCTTAATCTCAGTCGCAATCCCTTACCCCATGGTGCCTCCGAAACTGAGATGATGTAAGTTGTCAGAAAATCCACAAAGAGGATTTGATTATAATGTTGAACGCGTGTGCAGGAACATGCATATATTTTGGAACTACTGATAATCCAGAATGGGTGCAAAAGATTGCCACAGAAATGGTAAGCAACAGACCTCAGGTTTTATTAGTCTCGATGTTGAACCTCTCCGGATTAACCACTAAGAACTCAATACAGCGCCTTAAGATGAACCAGGCTGAAGACAGCAAGGTTTAGATGACGTGAGTAGTAGCTTGACAGCGCTCGGGATTTTCTTGACCCTGTTTCTTCAGACCACTATACACATAGATATATCCATATATATGCATATATACATACTAGCAGCATGGCTCGGCGTTGCCCGTGCTTGATTCAAAAATCGTACGACTCATACAGCAATCGCTATCACGGGACTTAAAATATTTTTGCCCTTCCTTGCATTTAAAGGACTGCTCTTTGCCGTGCTGATGTTGCTACATGCCTTACTTCTTGCCTATCTCACACTGTAAATTTTTTCTAAGATCTATACTAAACATTAAATCTGTTACGAAAAAAGAACTAAACAAAATGAACACAAAACGATCAGTTTTAAAAAAGGACTCGTAACTGGAAAAACCGAATGAAAAAAGAATGTTAACAACAAATACTTTTTCACACCCAACCCAGTTCTGCGGAATCAGAATCAACGTTGAGGTTAAGAAAGCGAATGAGCCAATTGGAGTAAAGTGCCATGCAGATTTAAATTTTTCCCATTTGTCACGAATGCAGCTAGATATATATATATATATATTAGTTACAAATGACATTCATGAATTAGATTCAAACTGATGTTACCTTAACAATCATTTACAATATTAAAAGATTACTATCAGTAAACTGTTACATTTTAAAAAATTCTTTTAATGTGTTCTCTATGAATGTGTTAATAAATACAGTATTTAACTTATATTAAATCCCTAAATTATTTGTAAAAGAGTTAAATACTTAAATTGCTAGCAATCATCAAATTAATTTCTTCGTGGAATTTTTTGAACATTTAAATTACTATCAAACATTAAAATCTATTTTTTTACATAAACTTCTAAAAATATACCACCCCGCTTCTTCCTACCTAAAACCTAATTACACCTTCTTTCTCTTTACTTACCCTTCTTTGTTTTTTTCTTTTTCCCTCTTCTCCCCTCCCATTTCAAGATATCAGTTCCGTTAAGTTAACCAATTAAATAGGTCATGGTCTGGTCCCTCCTCGCCCAATACTAAGTATGATTGAAAGAAATATTAAAATAACACCCTCTAAACTCAACCATGCCTCTCATACCACTCCTTGCTACCCTCTCTGTTAAATTACATAAACTTAATACTACCCGTCAAAAGTGTGAATTTTCATTTCATCTTTCGTTTCATTTTTTTTGGAAATGTTATCTGATGATCCAGTCTCCTTTAAAAGGGCTCTGGTGAAATAAATTATGGAACCTTAAAGTGGTCTGTTTTTCTTTAAATTATTGGCTCTGGATTTACATTGAGCTCTCAGGATTTCATCCTCCTTGGGACTACCCATACGGATTGCCAAGTTTTTCATAACTTATATATATATATATATATATATATATATATATATATATATAATTATTCATCCCACAAAATGTTTGATATCTAAAAAACACTAAACTAATTGTCTGATAAGATGTTTAATCTTCTTGACTCCATTTTTTGTAAGAATCACTGACCAACTTTTTGAGTTATCCAGTTAGAAAGAGAACAGGTTAAAACCGTTTTGTGTCAGCCCCACTGTCTTCACAACTGAGCAATGGGGAGAGGATAAAGATCATTTAAGCCTTCAGTAATGGTACCAAAATTCATATTCTGGCTTCCACCTTCAAAACCCATTCAAAGCTTATCAGATGGCTTCAACCCGGGTCCGAAACCTGAACGATCTGGCATCAGTCAAACAACTGAGCTATTAGCGAACGGCAGAGGGAAACGGTAATTCTAGCGTATTATTTTAAGATTATAAACAAGCAGCCATAGTTTCAATTCATTTAGTGAAGAGTATATATATATATATATATATATATATATATATATATATATATATATATATATATATATATATTCATAATAACTGCGATGGGGAGAGGATAAAGATCATTTAAGCCTTCAGTAATGGTACCAAATTTATATTCTGGCTTCCACCTTCAAAACCCATTCAAGAAAAATCAAGAGAACGTTGAGTAAGTTTTAAAAAATTGGGAACAGTAGAGAAGAAAACTGGATCAGGAGGTCACAACAGCAAGAAGGATCATTATTTCAATTTAGAGTGAAAGAGATCTATTAGAATAGATCCAAATCAATCCACAAGACGATTTTTTGACTTGTATAATGTACATATGGGCACCTGTATTAATAAACGAATTCTATTACTCACTTGTTTTGGTAATAATACAGATAAATCGACTTTCTATAGGTGAGTCCATTTTTTTTTATCTTGTACTGGATATAAATCCTTCCAGATGTGGAATCTTCGTTAATATCTTTGGACCGACTTCCAGACGTGTGAAAAATTCGTAAATATCTATGTACACAGTAAGCGTGGTAATTATGACTATGCACCTTTCTGGAAACGTTAACGTTTTTCTTATGATAAACAGAGGCGTATATCGATATAAGATTTAATGGTGCCTTTAAAGAAAATTCATGAAAGTTTTATCTGTTCAGCATTCTGTTGAAATTTCTTTCGTTGTATCTTTCGTCAGAACGATTGAGCAAAAGCAACAAATATCACTGGGTGTACTTTGAAACAAAACGGGTGCGTGCCTTCCATCCACCCCCGCTTTCGGCGTCAAGGCGGTGGAAGGGAGCGGGAAAAAAAAAGAAAGAAATCATGGACGGTGATGGAGAATCCCTATTCAAACATTACTAATAGGTAGAACTTCCTATGAAAACAATTAGCGTGCAGATGAAGAATCCGATCTGAAATACGCAAGTGCAGCGAAGAAGAAAAGGAATAAAGAGCCGCCCAGAAAAGAAAGAAGATAAAAGAAAGAAACATCAAATAAGAAAGATGGTGAAAAAAAAGTGGATAGTTTTATACTAGAAGGAAGGTACAGAAAACACAATGAAAAACAATTCGGAATTTTCGCTTATCACGATAAACGGGTTTTCTCTCAGGGAGGGCCCATGCATTGAACCACTCTTCTGACGGTAGCTCACCCCAGCTCTTAAGTGGAACTCGTACATCGCTAAAGATGCTGGGGAAAGTGTTGGTTCCCTGCAAAGCCTCAGTAAGTACCTGGTCCTCCTCCTGATTTCCTCTACCTTTACAAGACCCAGATCAGGCCGAAAATGAAGTACTGCTTCCATATATGTAGAGGATCTGCCCAGCCTTCACTTTCCAGTACGCAGCCTTTTGAGTGATGAATTATTATCCACCCTACAACCCCTTTCCCACAGACGAAACGTTGCAAGCCTTCTGCTACTCATCCGCTATTTCCATTAAAAGTGTTCAGACGAATTACATTTCTTAGTTCCACCAATTCCGACCCTGGCAGCTGAGACCTGCCGTGCCAAGCACACTGTAATGGAACACCATCATTCGCAGGGGTGAAACGTAAGAGCCACTCGAGCAGCTTCTTCCTAAAAAGTGCTACTTTTTGGAAATGACTCCCAAGATTATGCTTCCTCGATCATTACAATCTTAAACTGTTCAAATCTAGGGTTAATTGTTATCTTCCTCACATTTTATCATAAAGTCTACTATGTAACACTTGAGTGGTTATTGTGTCTTGTACAGGATGAACATTATTGGGTGAAAATGGATGAAGAGAGAGAGAGAAAGAAAGAGAGAGAGAGAGAGAGAGAGGGGGGAAGAGAAGAACTTAAATAAAATTAATAGAGTGAATGATTGAAAAATAAAATGCGCAGTATGGGTTGCTTTGAAAATCTTTTGACTTTTGCCATTTATGGCTGAAGAATCTTTTAGGCAGAGAACAATTATGTGATAATTTAAAGAGACTAGTATTTTCAGCTTTTTCTTTTATCAAATTAATTTATGGAGTGTTCAAAATTTCATTATGTTTATAAAACAGGATTTAAAACGTGCCGGTTGAAAATACACTACTATTTCTGCGAGAGATCAGTCACAACATTCACTAAAGTTACTATTATTTATGATCAAACCGTCTTTTACCTGCCATTTAGTGTTAGGAAGAATATTGCTTTTTAGACTTCCAGTACACGGAGTACTAATATTAGCATTAGTGTAGCCATTGGTATACTAACACTGAACGTGAATATAGAAAGACAAGATACATGTCAGTAACAAACAAAACGTTTAATAAGACAAAATACAGCTTACAAGCAAATATTAAAAAAAAAATTACACATGTCCCAAAACAAATTATTGTTCATACTGACCAAAGGACGAGAATATTTAACAGAGCAACGAACGATGAAATAAGATACCAGACTTATGGCCTTTGACCGACCGTAGCTAGGTGAATCAAAATTAGTTTTTTCTCCACGTTAGACTGTCCACATGTTGTCACGTGTGTGGCCGCCCTGGTGGCCAGGGAGGCAATAACCGTTCCTTAAAAAAACATATAAACTACTCCTTAACGTAACCATCTACCTCGAGTAACCCTTGGGCCTTGTACAGGGTGAAATTTGTTGTAAAAAAAAAAGAAATGAAAACTTTTTGCATCATACTTCCACGTTTAGTGGACCGTTTGATGTGACAATAAACTGTCGAAAGTCTGCTTTAAGCAGGTCTCACAAATGATGCAAAATGCGCAACTGCTTAAGCAATATGCCTGGCTCAAGGTACTCTTTCAAAAGAAAAAAAGATGTAATTTTGAAAGGATGAAAAGCAATATGCCTGGCTCAAGTTACTCTTTCAAAAGAAAAAGATGTAATTTTGAAAGGATGAAAAGCAATATGCCTGGCTCAAGGTACTCTTTCAAAAGAAAAAAAGATGTAATTTTGAAAGGATGAAAAGCAATATGCCTGGCTCAAGTTACTCTTTCAAAAGAAAAAAGATGTAATTTTGAAAGGATGAAAAGCAATATGCCTGGCTCAAGGTACTCTTTCAAAAGAAAAAAAGATGTAATTTTGAAAGGATGAAAAGGAATACGTGGTGGGAAAGAAAAAGAAAATTAATACGAAAGAAGAAAGAGAAACAAAATTAAGTTAGAATATATAAAGGATAAATGGAAACCAAAAGAGAAAAGGCGACAAAGAAAGGAATCAAATTAAAAGAAATAAATACAAAGAGAAAAAGAATGAAGCATAAATGAAATCAAAATAGAGAAGGAAGTAAAGAAAGATAACAACTTTAAGATTTAAACTTCGTTTAGTTTTGAGTTCAAATTTGAACTTTGCTGACTTTTGGCATAAGGTCGTTCAATTGACTCAAGCGTCATTTAGTTTTTATGCGAGCAAAAATTCAACCTTGATGATTTTATGGCTAAACAAAACAAATCTCAGTAAACAAAAAGGAAGGAGTTCCTTTTTCTCGACGCATAGAATTTGGCGGGAAATCAAGAAAGGATAACCAAAGTGGGAAAAATGTCTCGAGATGAAAGCGAAGAAATAATCAAATGTTGAGTAAAATGAACCACGTATTTGTTGTTTTTCAAATGCCAGAAATAATGGAGCTAACTCCAGAATGACAGAAAGATCAAATGATTAGTTAATAGATGGAAAAAAAATAGGTGGAGAATTCGATCGAAGACGGGGTGGGAGATGAAGAAATGATAATGGAAGCTTGTCTTACGTTGTCGGTTTGAGTGGGTGGAAAATCAGGCATTAAAAGATGGAAGAAAGATTTAATGAAGGCAAACAATTATTTTGGACGAGAAACTCAAGGCAAATGATGAATGATTTGTGTAATTCGAGAAGGGAACAAAAGTAAAAGGGGATAAGAAGACGGGAAAAATGCAAATCTTTATCTACATTTTACATTCATCCATGGAAAGAGCAAGAGAGAAAGGGAGAGTAGGTAGAGAGGGGGAAGGGGAGTGATAAAGAAGCAAAGAAAGAAAGAAAAAAGAGAGAATAGAGAAAGAAACAACGAATGAAAGGAAGGAAGAAAGAAAGAACGAAAGCAAGAAAGAGCGAAATAAATGAATAAATAAAGAAAGAAGGAAAGAAATAAAGGAAGAAAGAAAAAAGGAAAAAAGAAATAAGGAAAGAACGGAAAAATACGAAAGTACAAAAGAAAGAGTAAAATAAATGAATACATACAGGAGAGAAGGGTGGGAGGGAAGAAGGAAAATAAGAAGAAAAGAAAGAATGAGAACGAACGAAAGTAAGAAAGAGAGGAGAATTAAATAAATAAATAAATAAATAAATAAATAAATGACCAATGACCGAACGAACGAGAGAAAGAAAGAAAGACGTAAAAAAAATGGCGAAAAAAAAAAAGAAAAAAAACAGGAAGAAAGAGTGAATGAAAGAAAGAGATAATAATTCAAAATTTCTTTTTACAACAGCTTCTGATAAGAGTATTTAGTCATCTTGTCAGGGATTAAGGCCAAACTATTACGTTCAAGTGAGCACGTTTCTCCCTAGGCACTCAATTCTTGTGCCATATGTCAGACTAATCTAAGTTTAATAAATACCAATAAAAACATCAGCTTGCGTGCTTCGCCATAGAATAGTGCAGGTTAAACATCCAGCATAATTTTTTTAGCCTTGTGTCCTACTAACTTAAGTAGCATATTGAAAAGAACGTCAGGGTTTAGTGAGAAATTTGAGATTCAATGTAAAATAATAATGGCCAATGCATTATTTACTTATCTGTCCTCTTATATATATTTTTAAAGATGAGGAAATTTCGATTGACACTTTCATTATTATTACGCTCTGTCATCAGTAAATGAATTCTGTTTAATATCCTCATCTTTATTGCTTTGATTGCTACTTTTCTGCCGGTGCGCTCACAAGTTTTATTTAGAGGTTGGAGTTCTGAGTTGAATTATTATTATTAGTTCAGGAATTATTCGAACGAGTATCTTTATCAGTTTATTTCTACGCTTTAGTTTATTTGTTCTCTAGCGCTATCGTTTCAGGTTTTTAGGTAACGTGCAATTATGTGATGAATTAATAGGACTAGCACACTCATCTTTGTATTTACATTAAATTATGGGAAGTACCAAATTTTAATGGGTTTAAAACGGACAAAATTACAGAAATATTAACCAATTTCTGAATTTTGAGAACATTTCAGTAATTAGTGAGGCTAACCGAAAACATACTACCCGACTGATAACCATCGTTATCACATGAAATACCAATTAACACATTAACATTTAATATACTAACCTGTTTAATATTTGCCCTCGATGTTTTCTGTCAATCCGGGTAAACTTCATGGAATGATTGGACAAAAACATTTTTTTTTATCAACGGGGTTATATTATTCTCGTTCCGCTTTCACTTTTAATATAGGCTATTCCAATAACTTGGATCGATTTTAAATGTGAATAAGTTTAAGCGTCTTGGCAATTTCAACCATGGAAAGATTAAGAATCAAACAACGTGTTAAAGTTATCAAAACTTATTTCGAAAATGGACGTTCAAATAGAAATGCATTTATCGCGATTTTTTGGTCAACATAATCGACCAACCGAGAGTTCAATTGCAAAAATTATTCGTAAATTCAAACAAAGTCGGTCGGTGGCAGATGTGAAAACACCATTGCGTGCTCGTTTATGCCGTTCAGCTGAAAACATTGCTGCAGTGCACGAGAATGTGGTCGAAAATGCAGACACCTCTATTCGCCATCGCGCACAGGAATTGAACCACTCCATAACAACGTTACATCGGATTTTGACAAAAGATTTATCTTTACACGCTTACAAAATTAAATTGAATCAAGAACTGAAACCTGCTGACCATTTGGAGTGCCGTACATTCGTCAGTTGGGTGCACGAGCAAAGACAAGCCGATGAAGATTTTTCGCAAAAAATCCTCTTAATGATGAAGCCCATTTTCATCTTGGTGAATTCGTTAATAAGCAGAATTGTTGCATTTGGGCTGATGAAAATCCAAGGAAGATTGTTAAAAAGCCACTGCATCCACAAAATGTCACAGTTTGGTGTGCATTTTTTGCTAGCTGAATCATTGGGCCATATATTTACAAATTTGAACGTCCATTGTCGTAATAGGCTTCAATAACTTCAATAAGTTTGAATGTTAATCTTTCCATAATTGAAATTGCCAAAGACTTAAGTTGTTAAATATGAAAGAAAGAAATCATTAGACGCTTAAACATAATTCACATTTACAATAGGTCCAAGTTATTGGAACATATATATATATATATATATATATATATATATATATATATATATATATATATATATATATATATATATATAGTCATCTACATACAATCCTGTTTCGCTGTATCAGCTCATCAGTGTGTGTAGACGTCCGATTGCTTCAAGCCGGGTTCGAACCTCGACCGATTTGGCATCAGTCAGATATCTTACCCCTAAGCTAACAGCGCACAACAGAGAAAGGGATATTTTAATGTATTATATACCAGATGTATATAAACGCCAGTAGCCAAGAGGTCTCAAATCGTAATTGAATAGCGATGCATTAATAGCAGCATCCACTGTTTTTCCCTTTCTCTAGAGTGCTCGATCGGGTAACGAGAGCATAAATAGTTATATATATTTCTCAATGTCTGAGTTTATACTAACCTACACAGCAATTGAACCTTTGACATTTAAGGACATTTCATTAACTATCGACACCAACGTGAAACATAATATCTAACTGTGAACATCCGTTACCACGAAAAAACGATTCAAACAGAGAGATTAAAGATATATTCAAACACATGTTTAATCTCAAAAAAATCTCTAAAAATACAACATATATTCTAAGTTTAACTCTATCGTGTTTAACATATTTTTAAAAAATATATTTCTTTTTAAAAATATTTTATTGATTAAATTTAAAGAAAAAGCTAATAGTGAATTAACATAACGATGTTTTAATCTCTTATTGGGAACTATACCAGTTTTTTTTTTTTTTTTTGGTTTGAGAGTAACCCCAACAATGAACCAAGAGTCAAACCTTGTTACGAATTTCTGAAAATCGTTTTTCAAATTAGGCGACATTTAGTAAGTTTAACTCAGTCTAACACAAAGTTTCATATTGCTGTTTTTTTTTTTTTTTTTTTTTATAAGCGCTCAGCCATGCAAATACGGATCATGGGATGAAATAGTAACCAATGCCTCGAACGGGATTTGATAAGATTCATAGATTTTGCTATATAGGATTCTAAGTGATTCATTTATTACGTTTCTCACAGTATAACGTAAGGTCCCCAATTGCATACAATATCCGGTGTCACTCATCTGAGCGCTGGTTAGACTCGTGATGTAGATTATGCATCGTTAGTCCTTAAAGGAAAGCAGTGCAGAAGTGTCAAAATCCGAGTAAAACGTCAAGGGAGACAGGAAAATGAGGAAATCTTATACCTTTCGAAAAAAATACCGAAAATGATCAAAAAACAAATAAGAACTATCATCACTCACAACCACACGACATAAATGTTTTGATTCCTCGGAGGTTACCAAATAAGACAGATATTCGAGAAAGGACCGGAAATACGAGGATTAAAACATTAAAACATTTCCGATTAGTACAGAAGAATTATTGCATAATAATAAGATTATCTTAGTATGGTACGAAATCACAAGATTAGCGTACCCAGATGGGAACAGAATGAGAATGGATCGAGAAAAATGAACAGCAGAATGAGATATGAACATAAATAGATATTAACATACAAATATGAACAGAAATAGAATATAAACGAACAAACTTAGATATAGGAATGAATAACGAATATATATATATATATATATATATATATATATATTCATTCACAAACAGAATGTTTTGCTGTATCACAGCTCCTTAGTGTAGGCTAGATGTCTGATTGCTTCAAGCCGGGATTTGACATCAGCCAGATATCTTATACTAGGTCATCGTCGCACGGCAGAAAGGAAGGGAATTTTAACATTTTTTTTTACACGAAATACGCCAGAAGCAGGGAGAACTCAATTCGTACTTGAAGAGAAATGCTTTAATAGCAGTAGGAGCCGCTGTATGTATATATATATATATATATATATATATATATATATATATATATATATATATATATATATATCTTCGATTCTCTCGTTGTTTTTGACGTATAAGGGTCAAACAGATGAGTTCTTTTAGAACCAACAACAAGAATACCGGGACGTATCATTTGATTATAGTGGTAAAAGCTTGCGCAGAATCAACCACATTTTTTTTAGAAGAGCTGAATACAGAGAACTGGTGCACAGTAAGCTACAAGCTCCCCAAACGTATCTGCTTTTCAAAAACTGAGGATCTGTTTGAACCGGACGATAGGCTAAGCTATCTACTCCTTTTGAGGAAAAGAAATAAAAAAAAAAAACAAACAGTAAATATAATTTCAGAATTTGGTCGGAGACATTAGAAGTAGATATTAGAAGTAACCGTAAACCCAATCCGAAACAGAAAACAAAGAATAAACTTCTCTGGTTCAAAACACTGGTAAGGAGAGTGAATCGGGTGTCACACACACACACACACACACACACACACACACACACACACACATATATATATATATATCCAAGTATATGATTGGTGTATACGGAATAAATTCCAATAACCAAAAATACTGTTCTTAAAAGTGTGCTCAATACAGAGTAGAACAAAATGTAATTTATTCGAAAATTATAACATAAATATGTTATAAAATCCTAACATTAAACCATTAATAATTATACCCAAACTTCGTTGTCAAGTTTTTTGAATTTTTATATACTTGTATTTTGATTGGTCATTGCAGCTTATGTAACATCGTTTCCCCTATCGAGGGGTGTTTGGTTGATTTGAACATTTGAAAACTCTTTATTCTACATTCAACACCATCACTTGATAAGACACCAGAAGTATTGAAACAAAATGGCTGTTTTTGTAGTTAGTTTATAACATATTTATATCATAATTTTTTGAATAATATACCATAATTGTATATAAGGATTTTCGTTTGTTTTTTCAGTATATATTTTTCTTCATTCTGTCGGATCTATATCCATATATTTGCTTACATATATATATATATATATATATATATATATATATATATATATATATATATATATATATATATGCGTGTTAGTAGGATGTAGAATAGTATCCGAAACAAAAAGAGGAGATAATGAGACAAATTGGAAAATATTTTTTAAAATGAATATTCATTGGTCTTGCCGCCGGTTGTTTGATTTGGCGTCTTCTGGTCGAAATGAAAGTCAATAATGAATGTAAGGAAAATGCGTTGGGATATCTGGGGTTAAGAGGTGAAACAAATTACATAACCTTATTAGATTAAAAAACCAGACAACAGAAATTTTTTTTTTAAATATTAGCTCCCTTGGTGTCTGTTGGATTTTAAATCAGCCCACTCCGAATATATCTATAATTTTCGATATTAGATCGTATATCGTACTGTGTCACTATTGCATTTGTAATAATCGGAGATATTATGTATAGTCCTGGTCTTGGGTTTATTGTAGAGATTTGAGATTAGCACATTTACAATTCTTCTGAGAATTCTCTCCTAGTCAGACTAGCATATATTAAGTTGAAACAGTAGTCAGATGTAAAGGGTGTTCCAATCACTTGAAGCGATTTTATATGTGAATTAAATTAAGCGTCTAATGGTTTTTTCTTTTTCTTTCAGATTTGGCGGACATTTGGGCGATATTATTTTCCATACATAATTGCCATGACTTAAATAACATTATCCAATAGAGAAATAAATAAATTTACACCAATAATACTGATTTATTTACTGCTGACGTTGATCCGTCTTAATGAAACACACTTAAATATAATCCGTCTTAATGAAACACCCTTTATTAATAGTTTTGTTGTGCAGCATATTCCAGTGATGCTCATATAATCACCTTTTAGAAGTTTCTACATGTTTCGCCGATGTGTATGTATGTATACATATATGTATGTATGTATGTATGTATGTATGTATATAGAGAGAGATAGATAGATAGATAGATTTGAACAGAGATGAATCTGTCTATCTGTTAGTAATAACAGTTTATCGAAGTGTAACGATGACAACGTCTGTCATTCTGTCGGCAATGCAGCTCGTCAGCCTGAAATTTAATGCACGCAGAAACCCATAGGCTTGACAGCTAATTTCTGTAATCTGGATTGTTTGCGACGTGCCAACATGACGCAACTCCCTTGTCACAATAAGTTGTTTTGCCAGCCCCTTCCAAAAGATTCCGCCTCATCGTAGACTGATAACATCCACATTTGTTCGTCATTTTCAATTTGAGATGACAAAAAATGGATGTTGGGCTATTTAAAGTTGTTTTAAATTGTTCGTCAACCTGAACACCGTTTGTCCTGCCATTTTGACTACAACTGTTTTGATGTTCCGATTTCATTTATTTAACAATCAGAAACATTATAATATGGATTCTTATATTTTTTATTTGTTTTTTTTTTAATCATTTCACCCCAAACAAGGTGATAATGCCACTAGGACGCATGGCCTTAAAAGGTGTGAAAGAGAATGTGAAGACTTTAAGGCAGTAAAGGAATAGGGTTCAAGAAGAAAGAAGATGGCGATTGACATTGCATTTAAACTTTTGAAGATTCTAGGTGACAAGGAAGCAAAAAAATCAGAAGAACTTTCCACAGATAATAAGTGCAAGAAAATAATCTATTAGAATTGAGCAGACGGTTGTATCTGGCTAGTTCAACAGTAAAATCAAAGTTAGTTCTGTGCCATATACACGCTTAGGCGGTCATGTATCTTTTGATACATGACTGACGAGGCAGATTTTTCCCCTGCAGTAGGTTGCTATTTCTTTCTACTAGACCAGTTGCCATTATATCCATCGAAGGCTATAGAACCCAGTCTGTCCTGCTATTTATCCATAGCTGGGGGAGAAGAAGAGGATTCATACCTTTAACAAGGTTATTAGCACGTAAGTGAAAATAATAGATTTAACTGGAATTCGAACTCGGGCCTCCGATTCCTCAATCCGAGCTTCTATCCATTACTCCACAGTGTCTCCTTCACTGTCATTCCAGTAGCACGCTTAAATCCATGACGCCGAGGCATTAAAGAGCACAGCCCATTGGAAAAAGTGGCATGAAAATAATTATAAAAAAGACAGAGGGAAGCCACGTCACGTCGTTGACAAAGTGACAGAAGTCGAGATGCCAGGTCAAGATTCGATTACATTACAGACCTTTCTTTGAATTTTGTCAAGAATCTCGGTATATGTAAATCCACAAAAGAGTCTGGCGGAAGGCTCATTCGAAATACTTTATATGAACGCCATTCGTACTGACGGCGAATTGGTGTAAATATTAATTTATAGAGAAGGAGAATGGCAAACTAAAATAATTGATTGAAAAGGCATGTAATGAAAACAAAATATGTAAGTGTCTAGATTTGTTTGGGCTTGAAGTTGTGAATAAACAGAGTTTTAACTAGGAGGTCGGAGATAACAAGGATCAATCCTCTCCCTTACCCAACTCGCCGTCTGAACGATAAACTTGCAAGGTCAGTTCTTGGCCAAAATTCACAATTGGTATTTGTTATTTTAGAATCTTATTTACCCATTTCCCTTTATTATCTGAGATCAATTCGGCTGACTCTGGGAAACGATATATTGTTAATGCTAAGATATATAAAACACAATATAAGGCTCAAGAACTACTCATATAGATGGTTACTGAATTAGGCATATGATATGAACATAAGAGGAGGCAGAGGTAGAATGTAAGAGGAGGCAGAAGAGTATATAAGGACGATAGATAGCAACTGAACCTCGTGTTGAAAACTATTGTTCAGGAAAGCATCCACGCTGGAGTTTGTTTCACAAAGCAGCAATTCTTGATATAAAGTAGGAACTTCCTCCTTACAAATGGAATAGCAGAAAAAAAAGTTCTGAACTTCTGGTTTTTGCAAGGATAAAGATCTGCTGAGATCAATAAACACAACGGGGATGATTTAGTCCGGGATTGAATTCAACCCGTACTCCGAAGAAACCCGCCAATGAAATTGGTATGCATTGAATTAACTCTAGACAGGTCAGCTTTTTCTAATATATTTTCGCTGGATAACTTTTCCTCCTCTTTGATGCCCTTGTTGGGAACGTCGATGAAAACACGTGTAGAAATATTCAAGAATTCTTAGGTACCAACAATACAGAATATCACAACCACTGGCATCGGATCGGAATAACCACTAAGTAAAAGAAACATATGCTAAGGGCCATGAAAACAG